TCACTATTTTTGGATGGTTAGCAAGCTGGGGATGTGTAAGGATAAAGACCTCGTAGGAGAGTTTCTGACTTACCTTTACAGAAAAGGAGCAAAGCCACAGAGCCAAGAAGTTCCATGGATATTGTCTCCTAAGGACATAGTTACAAGCCACAAGAATTTAAACCTCCTTAAACCTGGCCATATCCTAGGAACTTGGGAGGAAAGAGGTGTCTGGAAGTTCTCATGTCCAGACTTTTCCAAAAGTTAAAATACCAGACCTTTTTGCTTTTCCAACACTCTTCAAAGAAGAGTACTCCCTAAGAGTTCCACACAATTACTTTAGTCAATTGGTAGGGACACGTCTTTCGTGGAAGCATGACCGATAGAGGAATGTCTCCCACTTCTGTTAGGTGGGATCTGATGGGTATGAAGAAAGTCTCCCCAGGGGAGATGGTATCTATGCTCTAATTCTTTAAAAATGCATGGGTGTTAGCTCAGTGAGATACAGGGAAAATAGTAAAAGGAACTGCCTCACTGAGGCCCAGAGCATGAGATAGGACCGTGCGTTTGGAGTTCTACGAGACATCACTGAAGGCTGGCTGGTTTAAGACTTTTCTGTATTAGGCCAAAGACCTAGGATGCTGTTCTTTAGGATAATGGCAGTCAAAATCTTAGCATTAAAACAAACTTCTAAGATTAGGAGTAATTTTTGAGGGCATCCATAGAAGAGTAGTGGTAATGTTATTATCTGTTACTTTAAAATATTTGAAATGAGAAACTAATAGAAAGTCAGGAATCTTTTAAAGTAAAATTTGTATTTTGCTTTTCAGACTTGACTGGAATTAATACACGGAAATTTGAGGTGTTAATCAATGGATAGTGAAGGAACAATTTAGTCTTTACAAACTTTCTTCCTTCTGGAGCCTCTGGGAGGCTGAAGAACATGAAAAGCCATGGAAAGATTTTGAGCAGGAATCACATGATCACATAAATCGGAAGAGGAGTGACATGATTAGATAAGCTGTGTTCTCCCAGGTCATTAACGCTGGTAAAGATTTTCTGTGTTATTCCTCTTAGGAGAATTTGCATTTGAGGGAGAACACTTAAATGCAGACAATGCTTAACAAAATGGGATAAATAGCAAATAGTAGTTGAGAATTTAGCATGATGACATTGCTAGTTCTTCAAATCCCAGTAAAGATTAAAACAATGCATAACAGTTGCCAGAATATCATAGTCTAAGACCGTTCTGTGTCCATAAATCTTTACTTATTACCAGGTGTGCCAGGGAATTGGGCCATGTAGACCATAGAGGAATGACCAGATTTCAGAAAATAAGATTATAAAAGACAGACCTCTCTTCCTCAACCAAAACTGTCTTCCCCTCAATCAAAATACCCTTTCCCTCCGGCTGCCTTCAGGAAGGTTTTGAGAAATAGGGTATGTGTATCATCCTATTGCATTTACTCACATTAGCCTATGTAAAGTTTCGCAGGTGAGGTAAACACAACACCAGGCAAGGTGGGTGCAAGGCAAGATTTATTAAAGGCGTCTCCGGAGAAGTTTCAGGGCTCAGGAGAAGGGGAGCCAGGAGAGTCGTGTCGGGAGGAGGTGGGCACCCTCGGGCGAGGTTCCTCAACTCCGGAAAGGGGAGTGGGGGAAGTCGTACTGGGAGGGTGTTGGCCGGGGTCTTTTATCTGGCCAAGGCAGGGCATGGGCTCACATCCATTATTTGGTGATCAGAAGGTATGGGGTGAGGGCTCCTGATACTCCTGTTTCCTGCATAGGTATCGGGTTACCTATGGAGATGTGACCTGGGCGTACACACTTTTGGTGGGAGAGTCTAGGGTTAAGGAAGGAGGTGGGGAGAGGACAGGAAGATGGTGGCCCCAGCGGTCATTTCTATTGTTCCTCCTGCATTCCCGGAACCGCTGACTCAACAGTGTAGAGTAACTGATAACTTTCTAACAGGATTTTTTACTTTTAAAGGAGCGCTTTGTTAACCCAAAAGGACATTTGATTGAGGAAATTCTTATAGAGATAGAGGAGAGACATATATTTTTGGGAAGCACAGCTTTTCTGGGACAGAAAAGCCCCACCATTTCTCTGGCATCTTACAGTTTTTTGATACCAACTTTGAGAACACTCACGGTTGTAGATCTGTGAGAGAGGCATACCATGATCTTTGTTCCATAGGAAAAATACCCCAGATTGGAAATCAGTTCATCAGTGAATCATGCTATTTATCCAGATGTGTAGCTTTGGACAAACCATTTCACATCTATGGGTCGCAGTTTCCTCATCTTTAAAATGAAGATTGGGAAGAATGATTTCTTAGGATGGCAGGGTGGTTTTTTGTGTGTGACAGCTGGACTGATGCCCCAGGGCAATCTGGTTCACCTCCCCGGCCAGGGGAGTAACCAATGACTGCCCCCTCTCCTTTCAAGGGTTGACCCCAAATGCTGGCATCTCTGCTGAAGAAAATTTTCATGGACAGAGAAAGACCGCACTCTCATCCTGCATGCAGGACATTTGTCATGTCTGTTCCAGGGCTGACATTTTCTGAATCTGGATTCTTCCTGTATCACTTCTCTGCTCATTGTCAGTACAATTGTTGGAGAAACTCAAGAAGACATAAAAGTTATGTCTTTAGGGGCACCTGGGTGGGTCAGTTGGCTAAGCGTTTGCCTTCGGCTCGGGTCATGATCCCAGGGTCCTGGGATTGAGTACCCTGTCATTGTGCTCCCTGCTCAGTGGGGAGCCTACTTCTCCCTCTCCCTTAACCCCTTCCCCACTGCTTGTGCACTCTCTCTCTCTCTCAGATAAATAAAATGTTTAGAAAAATGAAAGTTATGGCTTTAATTACTAAATGAAAAACAGTCAAAATATTAAAAAAAATAAAAAGCAGCCAAAATAAATATTCAGTTAAAAGAAATAAAGGAACATCAAGGTCCATTTACCCTTGTTCACTAAAGCCTCTGGGCTCCAATTTTTCCTTAAGTCTTCTGTTTCCCAACAACTCTGCTTGAAAGAACAGAGGTCTTGGGCATTTGGCAGGACAGTGCAAGGCAGGGATCTCCATGCCACATGTCCCAGACAGTTTCTTCCAGTGGCGATTACAAGGCACCAGATCTTCAAGACATAGCTAAGACTTCCAAATTCCCCTGTAGGAAGGCATGCCCATCCTGGTCTGCCTGCCTCAAGCTCAGTCTTCTTCCATGTGAAAGTCATTTGGAAATAGAAAGAGACCTGGCAGTCTGGCTGTGAACCCTTTGCTGCCAAAGACTCAACAATGATTTCTTCCTCTTAGGCTTTGCTTTCTAATAAAATTTTCATTCACTTTAACAAGTGAAAACATTGAGAGGGTAGAATTTGACCCAAAAGTAGAAAATCATGGAAATTGGACCGGGAATTTTCCAGATGAGACTAATTCAAATGAAAAATGCACCGAGGCACTGGGAAGCCATCTGAAAAGGTATGTGGAAAGTGTTTTATGAGCAAATTAATTTTTCCAGATACTGCTGATTTAGAAAATGCAAAATTAGCAAAATGTGCCTTGGAGATCATATGGCTTGGAGAACTTGGCTTACATCATTGACAGATGATAGCATGGATCCCCACTTGGGTGGTGTTGGGGTAGCCTGTTTTGCTCAAGTTAGAAGGAGTAACCTTAATGCTTTGAGGAATCACGTGTGGCTCCTTTGGTCTAGTGGAGCAAACAGGAGTCTGAGAGGGCACTCTGTTCTGCCACCAACTTGTAGTGATCTTCAGAACATCAATTCTCCATGGGGAAGACAAAAGTACCAATGATCTTCGATCTAGTAATACTTCTGATAAGGAAAATCTGTGTTCTGAGGTGGCCAGCCAATCTAGTTGGGGAATCCCAGTCCTAGTCCTAGGGCATTCCAGGTTTTCTTCTAGCCCCTCCTGCCACAGCTTCAAGAGTGACACAGATACAGAAGTAAAAGTGTATAAACTACCCCCTTTGTTTGTGTTCAGAGCTCAGACCTTGAGAGATCACTCTCCTCTGAGCCTGTCAGTGTAAGATAAATCTCCAATCCTCCAAGGTCTCCAAGCGCCACTTGGTTCTTTGGCCAGGATCCAGCGCATTCCATTGCACTTCTTGAATGGAAACTCTCAGAAACTCATCCAAGATAGATAGAGATATATAGGGTTTTTTTTTTCTTTTTTTTTTTTTTGGTTTTGTTTTGTTTTTTAGTAGGCATGGAGCCCATCATGGACCTTGAACTCTCAACCTTGATATCAAGACCTGAGCTGAGATCAAGAGTTGGATGCTCAACCAACTGAGCCACTAGGCACCCCTCATCCAAGATATGGAGGAGAATAGAGGTGGATAGGTGGCAATGAAATGATTTAGGACCACTGCATCTACATGAAATATAGTTAGGCTTCATAGGGACTTGGAATGAGATCTAATAAACTGCTAGAGACCAAAATAGACATTATTTTCAATTTCTCTCTCTTCCACATGTTTCTCATTATTGTTTCTCCCTGCAAATCTGCTCCCATTTAGGCTCCTTTCTGTACACAAAGTTTCCCTAACCCCCAGTCCCAGCCCTAGTTGGATAATTTCAGCCCATCACCTAACCTCTCTGAGCATCAAATCTAATGTCATGGACGTGAGCTGCTTGAAAAAGCACCAGGATTTCAGCTCTTTCACCAGTGCAAGGGGAGAAAGGAATGACTATATTCACTGACTACTGCAGGATCCAAATGACACAATGTGTTTAGTTCTAACAGCAAACAGTGAGGTCAGTAAGTTGCCATTCGAATCCAAGAGAAAGTAGTCAACAGAGTGTGAGAGTCTGGGGCACTTTGTATCTCCCTTTCTGAGTTTTGCTGTCAGGTGATATTGTAATTGATGCTTATTAGGATAAGGATCTTCCCAAATGATCGAGGGCTCACGTGGTGTAAGGAGCACAGTGAGCAAAGTAGCCTATCTTGGGCATAGTTTCATATCAAGCACGTTCAGAAGTGAAGAAGGACTCACAGAGGTTGTTAGATATATATTTAATACAATATACGTGATCATGGTTACAGATACATGTTTGGTGCTTTATTTACCAAGAAGTATGAGTCACACAGTACACAACATATTGACTACAAAATCAGAAGATAGATACAATTGTTTCTAAATGAAAAATTTACAGGATAAATGCTGACAGATGGATTTTCAACCTTTCATTTCTACTCCTGTCTCTGGCATATGTCTCCTGAAGATGTGGGTTCCAGAATTTAGAAAAAAATTTAGTTTTCCCAAATCCTGATACTATATAACATAAAAAGAACTTTTTGCAAAAAATGATCCAGATTATTTCTCTCCATTGGAAAATTTCTCAGCATTTCCCACTGTTTTGTCTATGCCTTAGCTTATACATTTTCCTAGACAGGAAGTTAAATGCTTTTAATATCTCCATTATGACATGACTGTGATTAGACTCTGCTATATTAAATGTTTCCTCTTGCAGGGGGAAAAGAGAAAGGGGGGTATAGGGGTGAGGTGGGGAGGGAAAATACCTCAAGTGAGAAAACAAGTAACTTGCAAGAGGCTTCTTAAACTGGATTTGAATAAGCTTGATGTGTAGCTTCTCTACTAGAAAAATAAGATAAGAAAATTATTATTAAACTGTGAGGTGAGGATAATATTCCCAAGACATTTTTTTCCCTTCACTCTCTGCTCTGAGTTTCCAAAGCTGCAAATTTCTCCTCAGTTGGAAGAGCTGATCTTTTCAGTTGTACGATGGTTCACTGATACTGAGGGAGGACTGTCCTTGGCTATCAATTGCTCTGGACTGCCACATGCCCTATTTGAGGAAAAGTATGTTGAACCCAAGCAACAGCTGTAAATTGTTACCTGAAGAGCCTCCTCCCAAGTGTCATGTACATGTTTATCCAATAGAATGGAGACCGGAAACCAGAGAGGTCTAATGACAAGTCAGTCAGGATATACTGAGATGCATGAGGACCTCACGTCCAGAACCTACACAGAGTTCCCTGGCTCTTGGGTTTAGACGGTTGGAAACTCAGTTCTCCACTCTCTGTTCCCCCGCTCAGGTGACCCAAGTGGGGAAAACCGATCCTCTACATCTATTTTTCCTTCTAATCAAGACTCTCTAGGATTTGAAAATGAATTTCCTCATCTAGCTGCACTGATTCAAAGAATGCCTTGTTTGCAAATCCTAGTGATGACAGCAAAATGTGGTTTGATATTCAGTCAAAGGGAGCTGTTCTTAAGTGTTTCCTAGTAAATGGATTAACTTCTTAGGTGTGGGCACTCCCTTCTTCACCACTACCCTTCTGTCCTCTCTTCCTGTTCTTCCGCTGAGCCTTTATCTCCCAAAGTTGCTAAGTCCCAGCAAACAGGGAGAATGCGCGGCTAAATACAGATAGTGTGTTAAATAATTTTCATGATCAAACCTGTGATGGGACAGATAATTTGACAAAGTCCTGGCAGGGGACGCTTCTGAGGGTATCTGTTGATGTGGTGATGGTCGAGTTTTTACTGAAACTTCCGAACAGCTATTATTCCTTGGGAGACAACTAATAACCCCATCATGCTGAAACGGAGTCTAGAGAGAGAACCCATCAACCAAGAAAACCCACAGATTTAAGAGCGTAAAAATAAAAACAATTTCTTTCACCAAGTTTCTCTCATTATGCACTAAACACTGAACTCTACTGATAGTATAATTTACACGATAGAGAATTAGAGTTTGCAGGGCATGGGGAGCAAAACGTTTCCATATATTTGATGTTACTGATGTGAAAGCAAAGGAACTGAAAGGCGTCAGTTCTCCGTCTCAGAAGGTCTGTCTGGGAGAAGGGGTGTGTGTGTGTGTGTGTATGTGTGTGTGTGTATGTGTGTTGTTCATGTGAGCGAGCCCTGCTTTAGTAGATAAACACAGCCTCTTAATTTTCATTAGAATCAACAGTCTAACTCTTTACTCTGGTCCAATTTGGACCCTAAACTGACGTCAACCTCAAACTGTATCAAGCCCAGGCAGAAAATCTTAGGTTGTGGGCCACTCCCCGGCCTCATCTTGGGTTTCTTTCAAGCGTGAGAAGTGTGTACTCCTCTTCCCATTGACCACAGTTTGGCTCCGCTACCTCTCTACATCCCAGATCACTTACGACTGTAGTTCCATTTCCACGAGGGAGGAAAATGAGAGCACCAAGCCCAACAGGACTCTTGCATATAGTTTCTTGCTTTCCCAGAAATTTACTCGAGAGAAAGTGGGGAGGGAAGTGGGGAGGGAGAAGGAGTGATAAAGAGATGTTACACATTTCTTTTTCTTCCTGGAAAGACGATCCCAGTTTCTCTAATTTCCCAGAACTAAAAGAATGTTATTTTCTTTGTGTTACCACGGAAACTTCCAGTAACACTGTTTCCTCCCTCCCCCCCATCTTTTTCCTAAGTTTAACAGCACCTTAAAAAGATTAGAAAGAACTTTTTGGGGGCAATTTTGATATGATTGCTTTCTTGTTTTAGGTTGTCATACTTGTATTCCTTTCAATTTTATCACTTCATGTGTTAGAATAGTTTCTAATGTGTGTGTAAACTATAAATTTAAAATCCTATATTGGTATATATTACATGCCATCGTTTGACTGGAAAGCATTCAATCTTTTTTTTTCCTTCACTGTCGTCCTCGTGGTGGTGCTTTTCCTGCCCTTTGCCTCCTGAGTTCAGCCTATGAAAAGGGGAAGGCCCTCCTTACTCTACACCCACAAGTCCTACCCACTGACATAGGGTGTGTAGTCAGTTGGTGAATACAGCTGATCTGGGTCTGTGTAACATTAACCAGCTGGGTGAGCTCTGTAATAGCTAGTACATTTTCTGGGTATTTTCAAACATTTGGCTCTTTGAAATCATGCGAATAAAAAGTTTTTGAATTTTCAATTCAATTAACATTCTGCTTAAAAATGCTTTGGCATCCAAGAACAATAATTCACCTAGATCCTTGGGTTCTTAACATTTCTAGCTGCATGAGAAAATAAAGGGCTGGAGATTTGATGCCAATTTGGGCAGTGTAGACAGATGCTGAGCAAGGTGGTGCCAGGAAGTTCTGCTCTGAATTGTGTGTCACTTCTACACAAATGTATGCAGGGAGGATTTCTTGATGCTCACAGTGTTGATTTGGACTAGCTGTTGACTGCTTGGTGACAAGTATCTCTGAAGTGAGCAATGTTTCCAACTATGAAAGGACTCTCACCACATTGGCAACTGTTGGCAGTGGACCCACTCACTCCAACCCACTCTCAGAATGTGAAATGGCAAGTATTCGGAAGGGCACGCTATCCTTCCAAAGAGCAAACACAGAGAAGAGCCAGCCAACACAACCAGAGTTCGCCTAGAGACTACAATAACATGGCTGCTTCGCTTTCAGTATTCTTAGGAAACAATTGAATAAATGGGCCATAAACATGGAAAATCATGAGTGTGTGGAGAAGAAAAGAATGTGAAAGGAGGAAATACAAGACTAAACAATGTGATCTTCTCCTTCAAAATTTCAGAACTTTATTCATCCTTTCACGGCTACTTTCTTTCAAAATTACTCAACATCCTCATGTTGGTTAGCCTCGTACATGGTTAGCTTGCTTCTCTTTATTACTAAATTATGTAAATCACTACTTAATCAAATCTACTAAAGACAATAAAAAAGATCTAGCAAGCCTTAACAATAATGAAAGACAGAATTAAAGGGTAAAAACTACTAAAAAATACCACGGCCTATCAGTCAGCTGTGTGCAAGGTACATTGGGGCATAACTGTGCACTTTCAGGATAAATACGATCTGCTAATGGAGGGAACAGAGTAGGGAAGCAAGATGGGATGCTAAAAAAGAAGTTAATCATTTCACAAAATGCAGGGTCCTTTGAAACTCTGTCTTACTTAGAAAGCCTTCATATGTAGTCAAATTATAAAGATAATTTGGTATTTTGAAGAAAATCATCATTTTCTAAACAAACAGATGGCATCATAGGGTAATTAACCATTTTAGGCTTGACAGAATTTTTCCATCTTAGTGTATAGCTCTCCTGATATTGAGGTAAGGGACATAGTGTTGGACAGCATCTGTTTCATTTGACATGATTGGAGTTGAAAATTTTGGAATTTTATACTCACATGGATTTAAAATAATTTGAAAATTGAAACATTGCTCCTAAATACGAAGGGCATATATACATTTATTAAATACTCTGTTGCCAGGTCATTGATTTACTAAAGAATATGGTGACCGGGTTGTGGGGGAGTATAAGAGAGATATAAGGAAAGAATCAATATGGATTGTGTTCAGATTGATTTTGAAACATTCATGGTTATATCCCTTGTTAGTGACCTCCAGCCAACACAAAGACCCTCTAAAGGGAAAATTGATATTTTACATAATGTATTTGCTTAAAAAAATCAAATAATGGCTGCTTCATAAAATTCGTTTCACCTTTTACTAACCAAAATCAGAAATACAGGACTGGTTGCCCCGGGTCAGAATTAAAACAACAAATGAGATCAATTAATCTCACTTGAAATTGGTCTTTCTACATCCACATTCTTTTCAGACCGGTTTAGATGGAGAATTCGTTACCCTAAACAAATGGACCTACATTCAATGATATCATATTCTTGTCTTGTATTTGCATGCCTTTAGCAGAATGTTTCTGCAATTCTGATTAGCTTTGACAAGAACACACTGTGTAGAACTTAATTAAGGACAAGACAGGAAGAAGACCCCCAAGAAAGGAAGGCATTCAGAGGACAGATAAACATCAAAGTGCACAGAAAGAGTAAGCAGCGCTCACTGGGGTTTTCCCCATTTGGGTATCTTTGAATGAAGCTGCTGTGGGAAGATACGCAGGCTGCTGGAAAACGCAGGGTATTAAGGAGGAAGTAACTCACAGGGTGATTCTCACAGCCCGACTGAACTACTACTTGATTAATTCCTGGTAAAACTCAGAGCGCACAAAGCGAGGCAGTGAATCCTTTTCCATCAGGGCATAGATTCTCTTCTGGGCCACATCAAAGCTGCTCAGAGAAGGTTCCACCAGGTTCTTCATGGTGATGTCCTTTGTGAAGTGATCAATATTCACCTATGGGGCAGGAAACAGGGTCACGAGTCCGCTCAGGTTGCAGGATTTGATGGCAGGTGGGGAGGGAAGTGGAATTTGTCACCAGTAAAACACATGAGGGGCAGAGGGTCATAAAAAGTGAGCAATATTATTTCTGTTTTAGAGGCAATGGGGTAAGGCAAGTGACGCTCCCATACATGCAGGAATCAGATGGAGACCTAAGCAGTGTTAGACACCCGCTGGGTGTCAGACCCTCCACTGGCAGCTAGTATGTGCACACCGCATTGAATCCTCATGAGAACCCTACAAATGGATATATATATATATATGTATATATATATATATACATATATATATATATACACATATATGTGCACACACACACACACACACACACACACACACGGCTTCAGTGACTTTCTCAAGGTCACCGAGCTAAGATGTGTAAATTGCATCCAAGACTCAGAATTCAAATCCAGGTGTCCTAACGCCTAATCCCTCAACCTTCCTTCCTTCCCACCAGGTTTCACGCCTGGTGGAGAGAGGAAAGGGGAGAAAGGAACGCTGGCCAGGACCCAGGACCTGTGCATGGCTCTGGAGGAGCAAGGATTGGTCTCTCCTGAAACAAACCAGGAAATGATGCTTTTGACAGAATAGCAGCAAGAATAGCAGCTAATGTTTATTGAGTGCTTCGTCTGTGCAGGCTCCTTGCTGGGAATGTTATTTTAACAGGCTTTGTGCCCGTGAACCCATTTAACCTCACAGCTCGGAGGCGGATACTGACATTTCCATCTTACAAGTGAGGAGCAGAATGTTAAGCTATTTTCTCAAGGTCGGCAGTGGTAGAGAGAGGACTCAAAAGCTTAGCAATGTGGCTTTTAACCAGTAGACTGCAGGGTTGGAAGGCATGTGGCTTCTATGTCCTGAGTGCAGCGTCAACACATCACACAAGTCCCGGGGACACCGTTCATATTAGGGTCCCTGTGAATGGTCCCCTGGAGTTGTGCGGTGTACAGCCTGCATGGGTGTGCCTGAGTGTGATTTGAGAGAAATCACTATTTATCATTTCATGTACTTTAAGGACCCTTAAACTATCTGGCTGTAGAAGAGAAAGACACAGAATCCAAGCCAGCCTGTGGTTCTGATTTGGAACACTGGAGAACATTCTGGGTCTCTCCTGGGCTGCTAGAGGTCCTTGATTCTGGGAAAAACCATCTGGACTCAGAGGATGTTGGTGAGGCAGAATCAGGGACAGAAGCCTGATGGGGGAGTGCCAGGCCAGAATGGGCTGGACCGGGGGCATGAGCTGTGCTCCAAGGTCTAGGATGGAGGAGTTGAGAGTGTGGTGAGATTTTCCATGGTGAGAGGGGTTGGAGTGCTATCTGCAGGGACGGGGCAAGATGATACAGAGCAGCCTCAGAGCTGACATCTGGGGCCTGCCTCTGCACGTGAAGACTCCAAGCCCCATGGGGTTAAGTTGCATGCCCACTAATGCTCCGGAAGGAGAGGCCGTGATGTGCACCACGCTGTTCCCACTCTGTTATTCTTCCTGCCACACTAAAGCAATGCGTCTTCCTTCTCTTACACCGAGTATAGACTGAGCTAGGTAGGCAACACTACTCGGAATGATTGAATATCAGAGAAGTACAAAGCTCTTTCCTAATCTTAATGTTTAAAAGAAGGGATGTCTTGGGGCACTTGGGTGGCTCAGTTCGTTCATCAACCAACTCTTGGTTTTGGCTCAGGTCGTGATGTCAGGGTCATGAGATGGAGCCCAAGGTCAGGGTCCACACTCAACGGGGATTCTGCTTAAGGTCCTCTCTCCCTCTCCCTCTGCCTCTCTCTCTCTCTGTATGTCTCTCAAATAAATAAGTCAGTCTTAAAGAAGAAAGAAGGGATGTGTTTAAAACTCCAACACATTGTATCCAGCTGCTAATAACTGCTATTTATCTGTTACTTTTCCACTCAGAGGCCTCCTCTAATGAATCATTCCGATAAACATGCCTCTGTTCACTGAGCCAGGAACATATTCTTGCATTACTTTTAGAGACGATCAAATGACAATTTGCAACGTACGAATCATCTGCATATTGAACTAGGTGTGGCCGTGGCCGTTTCTCTTCAAAATCTTAGTTCTGGTTCTTGCCGCTGTGTTTCCCCACCAGTTCCCGCTCTGAAAAGCCTGAGGTGAATATTCAGAGACAGGAAACCGAGGTTGCTACTTGCCTGTGCCAGTGTGTTATGTGGGTCCATCTGTGACTCATCGCCATGAACTGGTGAATTTTTCCAGCAAAATACAAGACTTGGAGAATTTTTAAAGTCATGACAGCTCCGTTTTAAACATGCTCTAGGTACACAAACATGCATGTATGTGAGATGTTTCCAGTGAAGGAGACTGAGGATGGGAGGACTTTAATTAGGGACCTGTCTGAAGTCACACATGGAGGGAGACCTGGCATCAGGGTGTCCACATCCATTCACCTCACAGGTATTTGCTGACTGCTCACGACGTGCCAGGAGCATGGTTTCCGTCCTCTCTGCTGCCCAGCTCAGAGAACAGTGGCCGCACTCAGCCACCTACCCATCAAGACCTACCTCTTTAGGAGCCTCAGTTTGGATGAATTCTTCATAAATTTTCTTTGCCTTCTCAGCCATCTTGGCAGGGGACTTGATCTTCTTGTAGTCCTCACAGGCAAGCCAGAACTCAAGGTTCTCCTCACTGAATTCAGACTTCAGGAAACTTTTGAAGCTGGCAAGTCCATCTAGCGAGGGGAAAGGTCGGTTGGATGGATAAATGCATACGTACTACATATATAATACATGTATTATAAGTTTATCTAAAACATATTATACATTTATTACACATTTGTTGCTTGTTTATGAACACTGTATGCTGCTGTAGAGACTTGGCTCATTTATCACCTATTTCCATCACTTACATAAGAACACGTGTTAGCTCATTTAGTCTCATAAACGTAAGAGACAAGTGCTATTAATGTCCTATTTCACAAATGAGTTAAGAGAAGTCAAGTGACTTGCTTGTAGTTAACCAGCTGGTAAGTGGCAGTGCTGGAATTCAAATCCAGGCAGTCTGTATTTGTTGATGAAAGCTTACCCGTGCACAGCATCAAGGAATACTATGAACGTCAATACCATGCAGATACTTATCAATTAGCACAAAGAAAAAAATGCATTTGAAACTTGGTCTGGCAGTGTAACATCGATGTTGATTATCACATGCAAATGACTTACAATCTTTTTTTTTTCTTTTTCTACAGATGATATTTGAGCACATATTATGTTCCGGGCACTATGATAAGTCAGCATGGTAAGTAAAGTCATCATGGTTCCCACCCTAATGAAGCTTACGGATGCTAGAGAAAATAGAAAGAAAATGAAGAAACAGGTAAAACACTGACACGACAAAGTAAAAGCCATATTAAAGAGATTCACAGAATAACAGAAGGCTTTTAAGCTCGTTTTGATTTTAGGAAAGGCCTCATGAGAAAGGGCTATTTAGTTTGAGATGTGAGGATGAGTGGGAAGGGACCCAGTGAAGTTACCATAAGACAAACAGTTCACTCTGCCCATCGATCATAGGTCAGTATTTAAAACATTCTACATTTAATATAATTACAATTACTGTGATTGTGTTTTCAGTGTGCTGTGGTTCATGTAGACTTCAGCTTACTTTAAAATGTTTACATACATGTGATACATACATACACATACAAGTATGTATATTAGGGACTCTTGGGTCCGATCTTTGCATTACTTTTTCTTTCTTAATCTCCACAGTGAGAGATAAGTAGAGGGCAAGGTAAAGGTTTAGGAAGGCACTGGAGAGGAATGAAGGAAAAATCACTCTGTAGGGTCAATATTTTCCTTGTTTTTAAATCTAGGTATATATATATATATATGATTTTATTTATTTATTTGACAGAGAGGGAACACAAGCAGGGTGAGTGGGAGAGGGAGAAGCAGGCTTCCTGCTGAACAGGGAGCCCCATGCTGAACTCGATTCCAGGACCCCGGGATCATGACCTGAACAGAAGATAGACGCTTAATGACTGAGCCACCCAGGAGCTCCTATGTATATATATTTTTTAAACCCAAAGTCCAACAAACACCTAGCTGTAGAGACAACCCATGTCCCTATCTAGGAAAAGCAGATTTCTGAAGGGAGAGGAGAAGAATTCCAGTTTTGCAAAGAATGTCACAACCACTGGCCAGCTCTCCAGGTCACTTTGTCTCCCAGGGCAGAAGCAGGACGACCGTCCTCAGTAAGGACATATCAGGGTCCAGTGTTGCTCTAACTCGCTCCCCATCAGGACAGACTTGTTCGCCATTCATTCTCTTTGGGGAACACATGCATGAACTGAATTCATTTCCTTTGGTCTCATTTCAGTCAACCGACCTCTCCCTTGACTACCTCTCTGTACTGCTTCTTACAGACTCTCAGCTTCCATTCATTCATCTTCGCTGGATGCATGGATTTCATCTGGCCTGCATACAGCATGTGTAATGATTAAACCAGCATCTCTGGCTGTCTTCTTCTTTTTTTTTTTTTCCCAATTTACCTCAGTAGAGGTTGACCGTCTGCATGCCCCTCACAGTCCCCTGCAACCACATTAAATTCTAAAGAAATAGGATGGTAGGTGATAATTAACTTGGATTAGAGCTGCCAGCAATTTCCGGCTCCAAACAAAACACTTGCATTTTAATCCCCTCTTTTTGTACTTCACCTAAAACAAACAAACAAACAAACAAACAAAAAAAACTTTTTTTTTTTTTTCCGTTGATCAACATCTAAAAATACATCTGGGGGCAATGGTAGACATGATAAACAATTTTCTCTTAGAAACCTAGCTAGCAGAATTACTACAAAACTGTTCGATTATGTGTGCCTAGATAAAATCAGGTGTGTTTTCCCCTCTCTCCCTGCATATAGATATAAATTTAAACTAAGGATTTTGCGGTATTTTTAGCAGCGTTTGTTATAATTTAGTGACATGGGAGTAAACATATATGCTGAAAGGAGGCCTAGATCTCTGTCATGGTTAAAGTTTTCGTTGTTTGTTAAACAAAAGGTGGCGGATAGTCTCTGTTGAAATGGAAAGATTCCCAGGCACTTTTTGCTGTCTGGAAATGAAAGCAGGAATGAAGTCTTATGAGCATTACCCACGCAAGACCACGGAGGAAACTATAGCTTCGCAGAATAAGTCTGTGGCCAATTTATTCTCATCCGGCCCATGGCCCCACCAGCCATCAGGCATTCTGAATCACCCATTCCACAGCTAAAGGTATAGATAAAATCTCAGTCCTCCCAAGCATTGTTATTTATGACCTGAGAACACATGCCAGACTCCAGAACAATGTTAACATTTACCAGGCATCTGGGGTGGGGGCAGCTTGGAAAATAACTTTCCAGTGAAGTAAGTCCATTTCCTGGGTACTGGCTCTATCACTCATTGAATTCCGCAGTATTATTTCAAGGCTTTTTATCAATGCACTCACTCTGAATGGAGACTCATAAAATGGCTTTCTGCTCTATTGGTTTAGGAGATCCTTAAAGCTATTCTTTCTCTCAACTGGCTTTTGAGAGTTCTCTGAGTGGCCCCTTAATAGGACCCACAAGTCACTCTCCAGAAACCTTCTCCTCCTTAGCCTCTGAGTTTCTATTGGTCCATTCCCCAATACTCTCTGTTCAATTCCCATAACCCCTGAGGAAGTGCTCTTGGGTCAGAGCCAAACTGACCCTAGGAGGAATGTCTCTATTCTGCAAAGAACACACACATCTTCTCTGGGCCACACCACTGCCAGTCCACCTCACACCCCAGTCGATCCCCCAGCACTCATTCCTGCAAAACCCCGCGCTGCTCCTTGATGAGCCTGCACACAGCCTCGGGATACTTGTCAACACACCTCTCCAGGTATCTATTGCTGAGGCAGCAGAGGAAGCCCACCTGACCTCGGGTCTTGTGGGAGTAGTCTGGGTTGTGACCCACATTACAGTCCCAGAGCTGGCCCTCATGAATGGTGTCCCTTTGGACATCCAAGCAAAATAGTGCAGCAGCCCTATGCAAGAGCAGCATGAAGCCAGCTATATTTTCCTATGAAAATAAAATAAAAAGAGTGTTAGACAAAGCCAAGTCGCTTTGGTATAATAAAAATATTGAAAACGAGATTAGAATAAATCTCTTCTCCTAGAGAAAGGATGGTGAAATTTAATGCATGGCTAGCTGATAGGTGCCATTGCATAGCTTATTGGTTCACAGCACGGGGTCTGGAGTTAAGGCTGCCTGGGGTGGATCTTGGCACATCACATAACCACGGCAATTTGGACAAGTTTCCTGCCCTTTCTGAGCCTCCGGTGCCTCTTCTGTTGAACAGGTATAATCATGGAACCCACCTGAGAAGGTTGTAAAGATTTGGTAGTTCATGTAAAGCTCTTAAATGGTGTTGAACACGTAGCATGATAGCTGGCTCAGTAAGGACTGGCTTTCATAATTGTTATTCATGCTCAATTTAAAATTCATCTTTATCACCATCTAAAATCCAACTCAAATGTTACCTCATATGGGAGGATACTACCCTCCCACTTGCCCTTGGAGATTTTTTATTATGATGACGGAAAAGCTCACTTTGTTCTTCTGTTGGGACTGTCGCTTACATGCTGGTCTTCTCCAAGAGGCTGTCAATTCTTTAAGTTCAAGGTTTGAGTTTCATTTACTTTTGCTTCTCTTTCATATTCCACTTCCTAGTCTAAACCTGTCCTAATTTTTTTTTTTTTGAGAGAGAGAGAGTGTGAGTGGGTTGAGGAGGGCAATGAGAGGGGGAGAGGGAGCAAGAGAGACAGAATCTCAAATAGGCTCCACATTCAGCATGGAGCCCAACACGGGGTTCGTGACCCTGAGATCATGACCTGAACTGAAATCAAAAGTCGGACACTTAACCAACCAAACCACCTGGCGCCCTTGTGCTTAACATTGAGTAGATTTGTGCTGAACTGAATAAAGACCATTAAGGGAAGCATTTGTTTCCAAATCATAGACCTGAAGAACACAAACTTAGAAGAAAAGTAAGTTTTCTGCTAACACTCTAATGTTTTGTTTCCTAAGCAAGTTACCCAACCTCAGTATGCTTTTCTGAAAAATAGAAATTGTTATTGTACCTAAGTCCTAAAGTGATTACACTCATTAAATAAACCAATATAGGGGCATCTGGGTGGGTTAAGCCTCTGCCTTCAGCTCAGGTCATGATCTCAGGGTCCTGGGATCGAGCCCCACATTGGGCTCTCTGCTCAGCAGGGAGCCTGCTTCCCCCTCTCCCTCTGCCTCTCTGCCTACTTGTGATCTCTGTCTGTCAAATAAATAAGTAAAATATTTTTAAAAACGAATAAACCAATATATGCAAAGTGCTTTGGACAGTGCCTGGTACACGGTGAATAATACAAAAAAGCTCTTGCTTATATTATTATCATTATTGCTTTAAAGAAATTTGCCACTTCCAGTAAGCCAAGGACACAGATGAGCCAGAAAAGGGAAGGGAAAATATTGGAAACCAAAGAGAAGCAGGAGGTGAATGCGAAGATAGGAAAAGGGGGAAGGGCGTGGAAAGAAGGCTAGATACAGGCAATTCCATTCCCCATGGAAGAGTTCATATCTCAAGGGTATCTCAGGAAATATGCTGACCTTTTGGAGCTCCTGGGAAAAAAAGAATTCACATAAAATCTTTCTGCTATTAGATTGTGTGTCATTCCTCCTCTGCTCTTAAAGACAGTCACGTGGAGAAATTTAATGTCACTGTCTTATTTAAGCTCCCATGTGCAATCTGTTTTTGTGTTTAGTGAACGACACACTGGTTATTTGTCCCATGGACCTAATGAAAACAGATGGCGTCAACTACAGAACTGAATACAAAACGTGTAAGAAACTGATGTACTTTCAAAACAGAGTCAAATACACTGGAGGATTAAAAATGATTTTTTAAATGAGGAAAAGTAAGAGAAATCTTGTTAGCTGGAGAAGAAAAGATTGAGTAGCACCTTAATTGTCTTATTTTTAAGAGGTTAGGTACCAATTGATTTCATTTCCACTCAAGAAAAATGTGGATTTAAGGAATACTTGGGAACTATATCAATTGTGAGTGAATATCCTACATTAATGGAACAGAATGCCAAATGTTCTTTATAAATCAATGGAGGTGCCACTCTTCAAGTTTAAATGGTTTCGTTTATCCAATCAAACATGAGAGAAGAGACTGGCATTTCAAATGCATGGATTTCTCAAATGTGTATTTCTTTGTTATATATTTTGCATCAATCACAGCTAATGTTAGAGATTTCTCACTATAGACTATTAGTTTTAGCAGAGTCAAACAAAAACATCTCATGAGAACCGAGTTGCTCAAGTGTGGCTTAAATAACATTCACAAGGCACGATAGCTGGTTTTTGGGAGAATAGGTCAAATGCTGCTTCTGAAGGTTGATGGTGCCAGGGTGGAATTATTTGGGTGTGACAATCATTCCATTAGTCCTTCTGTAGGGACAGGTAGACAATGAGAAGCAGGGAGCAAAGACAATGTGTCAATAGGGAGACACAGAGCAAGAAGGGGAGTCAGAGAGAGAAGCGGGGGCAGAAGGGGAAATGGAAAAATAAAGAGGAAGAGAGAGACAGAGAGACAGTAAGAGCAGAGGACTATACTTGGAGAGGGAGAGGTTGTTTTGTTTACTAATGATGTCCCCTTTCCGAGGACGTGGCTCTCCTGTGTTTCCATGAGATCTCTCTATTCATATCAGAAACCCTCTTTTTCACTTGAGTTAGTTTGAATATACAGATATCCTTTCAAAGGAAGAATTTTGACCTGAATGAATATCAAATGCTTTTCCACTTATCCCTTGGGGAAATCAATTGCCCAAGTCTTAACAATGTTAATTACTTAGGAGGATAATTATGTGGAACTTAAAATTATATGGGATTATATGGACTTTCTCTCCTCTCCATCTCTGAAACAAACAAATAAATCTTTAAAGAAAAGATTATATGGACATTATATTATATGGACATTAAAGAAAAGATTATATGGACATTGTATTAAAGATTATATGGACATTATATGGATACACACACATACAGAGATATATACTGTATAACACACATATATATGCAAATTAACTTTTAAATATATATGATTAAATGAAATGTGAATATTATATGTAGATAGTTACACAAGCACACACATGTGAATATATATTTTCCACACTGAGAAGTAGAAAACATTACTGTGAGAATCTCAGGGCTCAAGGTCACACCATGGTCATTGTCTATGTGCAACCTGAAGAACTTCAGTCCCTCAACAAATGCTAAGGTGTTAACACCAACTGTCTCTGGCTTAACCTCAACCCCTGTCTTTCTTCTATCAATAGCTCCCTGTCTCCTACAAGCCTGAAACATATAAACATGTGGCCTGAAGGATTAGTGTGACCTGAAAAGGATTGTATATATGCACACAAATATATATCCTTCTCCTTAGTGGTTTTGCAAACATGAGAATAGTTCTGTTACTTCTCAGGGTTTCTTGACAACAGCAAGAAATAGCTGCACCCAGGATATTTGGGATTCATAATGTATCAATATATCATTTGTGAGATTGCAATTGGCCCCAAAACCATTAAGGAAGACAAGAAATAAGTCAATTGATAGACATATATATTTTTCTCTTGGTTGATCACACGGGATTTCTGGATCCAGGAAGCAAATTGAATTCATTCATCCATACATTAAGCCAATAAACATTTACTGAACACTTTACATGTGTTGGGGCAGGGTATTCCGGTTAGCACAAGCAATAAAAAGAGAATCATAAATGAGTAAAATTAAGAAAGTTACAAAGTCGAGGTTTGGCTGTTCTGCCTCCAAAGATAATGATTCTATCTCAGGTAAACAGAAGCTTCCCTACCAAAATGAAGACATTAAAAAAAAAATCATATATAATTCTACTCTGGGCCTATTGATCATGATGCTCCTGTGAGAAATATTTTTAAAATTTTTATTTTTGCAAAGCATCTAACAAAGTTTCATATGACATTCTTGGGGTAAAGATGTAGAAATATGGGTTCTGAAAATTAACTATTCAACAAATTACTCTCCCCATATGGTGCACTTCTTATTGGGAGATTATTCAGATCAAAAGATTGAGTCCTGGGGGTGCCTGTGTGGCTCAGGGGGTTAGGCATCTGTATTTGGCTCAAGTCAGGATCTAAGTGTCCTGGGATCAAGTCCCATGTAAGACTCCTTGCTTAGTGGAGAGCCCAAGTCTCCCTCTCCCTCTCCTTCTGTCCCTCCTCCATCCCTGCTTGTCCTCTCTCTCTCTCTTAAATAAATAAATAAAATCTTAAAAAAAAAAAGATTGAGTCCTGGCTTTCACTGAGTTTATAATTTATCATAGGAGGAAGATGCCTATGAAAAAGTACACCATAAGATGTATTAAGCAGGAGAAAAGTTGTGCAGGCAGAAGCTCTGGAAGCTCAGAGGGAGATCAGTCTGGATAAGACTAGGCATTTTGTGTTTAGATTTGCTTTTATAGGAGAGGAAGAATTTCTACAGCTAGAGATATGAATACAAAGTATTCTAACCAAAGGGACTGCATGCAGAAATTCCCGAGGGAGAACACTTCAGTGTGACTGCAGACCAGCCATCTAGGTATTATGGAGCAGCTTAAACATTGGAAACTTGAAAATGAAACTGTAGGCCTTGGGAATGGTAAGGATTTGCATTAGGGGAAAGGCAAGTAGTGCTCAGGTGTATTGGTATTAGCTTGGAAATGGGTTCTTAGTAGCACTTTGGTCATGTCTTGAATAAAGATCCAACCAGCAAGCACCAGAAGAGGAAACTAAGGTCTGGGGTGAGAACAACCCACGTTGGGCCAGAAAAACAGTTAATAGCAGCTTGCATTGAGACATACTATCCAACCTGTGCTTCCTAATCCAGTGGTCTGCACACTACTCTAGCCAATCCTTGTCAAGTCATTATGACACTAAACTGGAAAAGGCAGTATCTCTCTTTTCCTGATAAAAACATTAAGAAGCACATGTGCCAAGCCACGTGGGTAAGCAGGATGATGGGAAAACAACATGCAATCCTGAGTCCGCAGGACATTTTATTTTCACATTCTCTTCCAATGCAGTAGACCTTTCTCTTCTTATGAGCTAGATAACCACACTCCCTTGGCATCCTTACCTTGCTGAGACCACTTTGAAAAATGGAAGAAATTTCAGAATTGGAGAAGGACACAGACAGTACAAAGGCAACATTTTGCCTCTGTCCCTGCCCTGAGCTTTTATAAAAGACAATTCCAACTCACAGTTGTTCTGCAGAAGCTTGTCCAGGCAGTCACGCCACTGCAGGGCCTCATCCAAGGAAGGTCTAAATTAAGAATTAGGGAAAAGAAAAAGGCAACAGCCATGAGAAGAAGGGAATTAACCATTCACTGATGATGTCTTGGACCTGCTTTTCTTAGAAATGATATACCCAATGACCCATCCTCAGGACAAGGGAGTTTGTTATTTTCTTTCTAATAAATCAAATTTGGTGGGCTGGGTTTGCTTTCACACATGGATATTGTGTATTTTCTTTCTTTCTTTCTTACTCTCTTTCTTTCTTTTTTTCTTTCTTTCTTCCTTTCTTGTTTAAGATTTTTATTTGTTTGGGAGAGAGAGCAAGAGAGCAAGAGCATGAGTGGAGGGGAAAGGCAAAGGGAATGGGAGAAGCAGGCTTCCCACTGAGCAGGGACCCCCTATCCCAAGGTTCCTGGGATTGTGACCTGAGCCAAAGGCAGACACTTAACCACCCAGGCACCCTAAGAGTGTGTATTTTCATCTCCCTTTGCACAATCTGTTTAGGTCTCTCTCTTTTTAGAAGCAAAATCTATTTGTCATGAAGCTGTGTCTTGGCATTCTTGTATATTCCATGACAGTATCTCCAATTGTGACCTTTTTCCCCAAATGTAACTGAATGAAATACAGTTGCCCCATTATAGGGATTGAACTCATATTCTGTGCCTCACCAGTGCTCCCCTTTTGCTGCCCAGTTTAATCAGCAAAGGGCATTTGATTCCACATCTGTATCCCATTGCCATTGTTAAGGCTGGTGGAAGACGGAATGTGGGGATGCTGCCTCATGGTGGAAATGTGATCATGGTATGTCTACATTTTTAAAAATCAGGATGCATTTTTCCTGCCCAGTTAGGATAGGATAATAATTTTTAAAATATTTTCTCTGAGAAGAAAAGTGGTTACACATCGTGAATGAGAATGTTGTACATAAATGCTTTAGATGCTGACTCAAAAGGAGAAGGTAATAGCCAACACATAATTCCCCTTAGGCTGTTTTTATTTTAACATTTATCTATGCAGAAACCCCGCAGTTATCTCGTTAAAACCACCAGCTCTTCTCTCACAGCAGGATTGTGTCAAGGCAGACTGCTGTTGTCTGGGAAAAATGGCTGACTCTGCCCTCCTGGGGCTCCCCTCCTCCAACTCCTGCATTGTCATGTGAGTTCTTCCTCGTCAAATCAAAAGAGACTAACAAGGCAGGCACTAGAATATTAGGGCTGGGGCACGTGGGTGGCTCAGTCATTAAGCGTCTGACTTCGGCTCAGGTCATGATCCCAGGGTCCTGGGATCGAGCCCTGCATTGGGCTCCCTGCTCAGCAAGAAGCCTGCTTCTCCCTCTCCCGCTCCCCCTGCTTGTGTTTCCTTTCGCTGTATCTCTCTCTGTCAAATAATAAATTTTTAAAAAATGGAATATTAAGGCCAATGAAGGTATTCTTCCTAAGTTGGAATGTCCTTAGCACTTCGTTTTTTGTTGTTGTTGTTGTTGTTTTCTTTTTTAAATCTACTCTTCAGACAGCATAGGAACATTCCTGCTTCTGTCTTTAAAAAAAAAAATCTTGGGGTTTTAAGCATTCAGATTAGCAGCTGAGGTTGACGAGACAATTGCTACTTCTACTTTTTATTGTGCTGTCCTGGCTTAAATACTGCATCACTTTATTTATGTAAAGAGTCCAAGATGGCAGTAGCTTTTTTTGGCTAAAGTGCTGTGAATATAGCCTTCACTTCTGTGTTCTTCATTGCAGAGTCTTAATTATTTGACTTTCCATAAAGCTTTATGTTTTTACTATTTGAAGATTAAACACGGTGAAAAGAAAAAACTCACATGGTTTCCGTTTTCCTGGCTAGAAAACAGGTGTCATCGATTAAGAGCGCCACACCAATTCCTCGGAAATTTGTTTTTAGTAAGTGAATGACCCTCCCTCCCCACCTCATTTTCTTCTGGTTAGTACAAAGGAGCACAGGAAAGAGAAATGACATGAGGAAAGGATTGCAAGAATTCTTCTGCCTCATTTTATTTCTAACCAGAAGAGGACTTGTTTTCTAGAGGTCATACCTCCTTTTGGTTCGTCTTTATAACTCTTCCTATGTGTGTGTTATTTCATACCTACATTCTTAGCATTAGAGCTCACATATCTTAATTCCTTCACTACAGGGGGTTCAACGCTCTGCTAGACACGCGTCACGGGTCTATTGATTGTTGACAGAAACATCAGGACAGTAAATAGTTGGACAAAAGAAGCAAAGAAAGGGGGAAGGCCTGGCTCATTCACTGAATCTTTTTCTGATTTTATAAATATTCTCATAAAATGAGATCACCTTCCTTCCCCCTCTTTTCCTCTGGTTAATACAGAGGAGCACAGGAAGAAGAAATGACATAAGAGGTGCACCACACTTAAGTGTGCTACCAGACCCAATTTGTCCCAAACAGTCTTGTTAGAACCAGACTAATGATCAATAGCAGCCATACATCACAGCCGAGATTAAATTCCTGAAAAGGACATGTGCTGAGCCCGCCTGGGGGTTAAATTAGTCCAAATTGATTCAAGGACACAGTGGAGCAGGACGCATGCCCCACTGCATAAAGCCCAGTGTTCTGATCACCAGCCTAGGAGGAAGCAGAGGTTCATCCTGTCCTGATTCTCAGAATTTGCCAGCCCTCATTAAGTCTGACTTCTTTGGAAACAAGATAGATGCAGATCTAAATGGCCAATAAGTGCCCTGGTTTGCAAGGTCATTGGTGACCACAGAGAGTGGGCACGGAGTCTGTGTGTGGGGGGGGAGGCGGAGGAAGCCTGTTCGCATGAAAGGCAAAATAAACATTTATAGAGATGATTAACTGTGTGTTTTATAATGCCCGGTGTAAATGCCAACTGGTCCAGGAAGTGGCCATCTCGATGGAAGTGTTCTCTCTCTTTACTATACTCTTACCTGTGCACTTGTTGAATCTCTTACATGGCCACAACGTACTCACTGCCTCAAGGTAGAGTTTATCGGTCATGGAGAATGTCTTCCATTCCACCTGGCCCACGGCGCACCTGCAGCACTAATCTGTACCGCAGTAAGCATGTGTGGAATGCAAACATTCACGATGGTTCCATGGGACCATAGTTAGTCTGGTTGATGAAAGCCATAAATGACCCGAAACTTTCATTTTGAAAATGTCAGCCCCGCGACCCATTACTCCAGCTGTGGGCAACTCTTGATGCTTCCTAAGCTGTAACCATGGAAAAGTATTTTAACCTCTTGAAACACCAGTGGTTTCCTTTCCTTGTTCTTTTTTAAATCTACACGGTCCCTGGCACACATTTAAACACTTCTGGTAATGTTCTCAAGTGCTCTTCTTCTTGACAAGGGAAATGAAATCCCAGTTATTTATTGGCCCTGAATGCCTGCTCTGCTCTTCCTTCCTTCCCTGCAGGGCAATTAGGTCCTGACTCCACTCAAGTCCATTCATGGAAATTTGTTAAGCCCGTGCCTCCGGCCAACAGTGACCTGGTGCTGAGGATGGGGATGCAGATAAAAAACACCTGCCTCTTTTCGTGGTCTCTCTGTGGCCAGACACTGTACATCCAGCTGTACTCCTGGCAGTGATGCTCAGTCAGCAGTCCACCCAGTGAGAGCAAGGGTATGGGAACAACTGGGAACTGTTCTCCTCTACAAGGCGGGGTCCTGCTTATGTGTGGAGGTCATCCTAGAGTTATAAAGTGGTAAAACACCACCAACAAAATGTGGTTAAAAATTAGTGGCGGGGTGCCTGGGTGGCTCAATCAGTTAAGCATCTGCCTTTGGCTCAGGTCATGATCCCAGGATCCTGGGATCGAGCCCTGCGTCTGGCTCCCTGCTTGGTGGGAAGTCTGCTTCTCTCCCTCCGACTTCCCCTGCTTGTGTTCTCTCTCTCCCTGTGTTTCTGTCAAATAAATAAATAAAATTAAAAAAAAAATTAGTGTCAGGGGCACCTGGGTGGCTTTGTTGGTTAGTTATCTGCCTTTGGTTCAGATCATGATCCCAGAGTCCTGGGACTGAGCCTCCATCGGGCTCCCTGCTCAGTGGGAAGCCTGCTTCTCCCTCTCCTGCTCCCCCTGCTTGTGCTTTTCCCTCTCTCTCTCTCTCTCTCTCAAATAAGTAAAATCTTTAAAAAAAAATATAGTGGCATAGGCCAGAGGGAAAAGGAATATCTAGAATATAAAATAAACCATAGGAATATCTATATCAGCTCCTGGGCATTTCCCAATTGGTTCTATGACAAGCCATGATAACAGTTATTGCAAACTAAATTTATGTGGTGTACTGATTTGTTTATTACTCATGATGAGGACCTAGAGCATAGCCTTGGGGAATGGTTACATACAGAGAGGGTAGGCAAAAGTGGGAGTCCTTGGAGAGAGAGAAGGCAGGGTTAGACGTGAAGGAAGAGAGTTTTCAGGAGGCCAACCATTGAGCAAACTCTGGCAAAGAGGAAAAGGCACACCTGTAGAGAGGGTTCCTGTGGGTGGTAAGTTTTAAACCAGATAAGCAAGAGTGAATAGAAGATCCTGGAAGCAGTGGCTTTTGTGAAAGGAGATTCAAAACCAAGCAAGCGTGGCTGAGAGTAGAGTCAAGAATAGAGTCAAGCGGACGTTGAGGAAGCGGGACCTGTCTCCAAACTCGTCTTGTTGGTCACACTTGGACCACTTCCTGGAGCACATCCTACTACTCCGGACTGAGACAGAGATCATGTAACACCTGCTGGCTGAGCAGCCCATCCTGCATTAGATAGTTAGAAGTTTGCCAGGGTCAATCACAAGTCCTCCAAAGCAAGTTACATAACCTTGTGATTTGCCTTTTTAAGCCTGCACTTCATGCTGGCTCTTGGGAACACATCTTCGATTGCAGTCGACTTCGTGTCTCGTAGATTGCCATCCCTAAGACCCCAAATAGATCCTTTGGTTGTCTTACAGCTTCTTCTGGATGGACACGTCCTGTTTCTAGAACTACCTGATGAACACAAGAGAAAGGGGAAGGAGTAGGAGGGAGGGGCTGAGACAGTTTTTTTTTCAGAGTTCAGAGTAGAACATGGTCCCAGAGGGAGGAGAGCAATTAAGAACACAGACACCGGCTACGGGTGGGTGGTAGGAATATAGGCAAATCTTTCCTGTTTTTTTAGATTTCTGTTTTTCTAATGAGAAAAATAAAAACATTTAAAAAAAAACCCAGAAAATGCCTTTTTTGAGAGGGGGGCTAGAGGGATAGAGGGGGAGGGAGGGAGAGAATCTTAGGCAGGCTCTATGCCCTGCACGGAGCCTGACACAGGGCTTGATATCACCACCCTGAAATCATGACCTGAGCCAAAAATAAGAGTCGGACGTTTCACCGAATGAGCCACCCAGGAACCCCAGAAAATGCTTTTTTAAAAAGGGATTGCTTTTTTTTAAAAGATGAGAGGGTTAAAAATACCTTCAGTCTGGAGAAGGTTTATTTTCTTCTCTGAGAGAAGAACACGGGTACAAAAATACAGAGAAGTTTTAAGTGGGGGAGAAGAGAGATTGATTGAGCTCATGCAGAAAACAGTCTTTTCCTGTTAGTTAAAAGGCATGGATACTTGCCAAAACCAAGGAGGTGGAATGGGTTTAGGGGCTTGGAAGAGGGTGGGAAAGGCTTGTAGTAGTCACTGACAAGTGCAGACGCACAGGCTTCATCCCCCCTCCCCAAATAATTCAAACTCCTGGAAGAAGAAAGGAAATAGTAGATAAGAGAAAAAAATTATCCAATAAATATCAACCCCAGCTTTCCTTTCAAACTGCTTCTGTCCGAATCCCTGTTAAGCCAAATAGTTCAAGTGTCTGTGTGGAACATTAAAGCAGAGAATCAAAGCAGGAAAGGTAGAGCCATACTTTTTAAAGTGAATTCCTACAGATCCATAACCACCACATTGTTTATTTCAAAACAGATTTTTTTTTGATCTGTTGCTGTTGCAAAATGTGGTTCTTATGCCCCTCCCAGTGCCTGGTGCCTGCCACTCCCCACTGAATTAGCTTCCCCTTTCTAAATGCACCAAACTCAATTATGCCTCACTTCTGGTTGGGGATCACTTTGAAGTAATATGAGGGGAATGGAACTATCCACTTAGGTTGATGGAAAAATATTTAAAAAGAGGAACCTTTTTATCTCCCAACCAATCCAGCTATATTAACTTGAAGGTCATTTGGACCAAGAGAAGATTGACCAGTTTATACAGATGTCAAATTTAAAAAGACACGGAGGTTAAAAGGGATTCCTGTGCTTTTACCACCCTTCTGCCATCTCCTCGAAGCTTTCAGATAGCAGAATGGAGGAATTCGAGTACATTTGGCTTTCCTCCTTCCTGCTCTCCTTTCTTGATTTTCAGGCCCATGAAACTGTTTGAAGGGGAAGATGGAGGGCATCTGGGGGGAAGGACTGGCTGCGTAGCGGGTGGGATGATGGGAAGCCATGTGCGTGCTCAGGGTAGAGTTACCAAGTCATGGCAGAGTCCATGCAAATGGGGAGCTGCACCCCATGCCATACAGCTTAAATCTATATAGTCTCACTCCTTGCCTAAATTGGTGGAAGTATGTGTGGGAAGGTGAGGGAGAAGGGGGAGAGGACTATGGAAGTCCAGTCAGGAATACTAATTTATGGATTGGGGTTAAAAATGATTCATATACATTAAATAGAATTGGGTAGGCAAGAATTAATTCCTCTGTCAAGTAACAGCCTTCTGTTCCTCTGAAGGAATCATATTTTGGAGAAGAAGCTATTCAGCTTAAATTGTCTGCCTTGGTCTTAGCATCTTCCTGAGGGAAATGTTTCCATTTCTATCCTCCCGCCGAGGAAGCAGCCTTGGGTCCTTCCTCAGCAGATGAGCATCCAGTGATCTTTTTCTTTTTTTTTTTTTTTTAAGATTTTTGTTTATTTTTTTGACAGAGAGAGATAGCCAGAGGAGGAACACAAGCAGGGGGAGTGGGAGAGGGAGAAGCAGGCTTCCTGCCTAGAAGGGAGCCTGATGTGGGTCTTGATCCCAGGACCCTGGGATCATGACCTAAGCTTGAGCCAAAGGCAGATGCTTAACAACTGAGCCACCCAGGCGCCCCAAGCATCCAGTGATCTTAAGTAACTGGGTCAGGATCGGTTACCTGAACCCCAGGCAGCAGGTGGTCAGGTATTTTTTCTGTCATGCTTCTGTGTGGTGAATCGCTGAGGAGATATTTAAATGCTGTTGCCACTTTATAAGGTATGCTCTCTCTCAAACAGGGTCCCAAGGCAGGGCCTTCTCTTTATTGTTAAGTAACCTGATGGTATTGCATGTTATGGTCCTGACATAGGAGAGTAGAAAAATGCTTATTTACAGACCAGGTATCTGAGGGATCTTACGATCGTCAATGAGTAATAGAAAGTGGAGAGCTCTCCAGATGAGGGATGGTGCTATACATTTGAGAAACAGCCATCCCTTGGGGGAAAAGGAGTGGAATCCATGTTCATGACTCACTTCTGGGTCTTGGCTGGTTTTTCTGGCTTCTCATTGTATGGAATGACAAGGTCAACAGCTGAGTCTGGCTTCTGGAGGAGAATTCCCAACTTGATCTTAATCTCCTTGGCCCTGAAAAAAAAGATATAAGGAGGAATAGGAACACCATCAGAGCATACAGATCTGAAACACAGATTTCTTTCTGTGTCAAAGGAACAAAAATGAACAAGACCCCATTTTTACTGTTGTGGCAGGAAGAATACTAATGTAGAAATGGGACACATGAATCCTAATAATTAACATTTATCAAGCTCTTTTTAAGGCCCTGATTAATATGCATTATTAATTATTATGTATTAATATTAATATGCATTATTTCATCTTAATTACTGTTTTGCATGTATTCTTTGACTTTATATATGACGAATACTACAGTATTATTCCCATTTTACAGATGAAGACATTGAAAGTCAGAGTGTTTAAATAACTTACCTAAGATAACCCAGCGAGTCTGTGTTGGAGATGGGACTGGAGCCCACACCATCTGACTCCAGAGTTCACAGGTGAGCTACTCACTCCCCTGCATACCTGTCTTCTGAGGGTTCTGGTCCCACATCTGCCATTAATTAGATGTAGACTATTTGAAAAAAATAATATATATATATATATATATATGTACACATATATGTGTGTGTGTATATATATATATATATATATATATATATATTTTTTACCACTAGGCCTCAGTTCCCTCATCTATAAAGTGACAGAGCTAATCAAGATGTTTTCTTCAGCTGTCTCCAGCCATAAAATTAAATTATTCTGCCTGAAGATGTCTTCCCTATAAGTGTTCTTTATTTAGATGGATTTGATTTTTTTTCCCCCAACTGCTTGCCCCTTGTTCCATAATGGCTACTGGCCTATGTTCTTTGCAGTAAGCCTTCGGGAGATGAGCATTCATTGCCAAAGGACCGATGATAGCAGCATTTTATCACTGCTTTCTACCCTCAACATTTTGGTGAGTAGATGGAGTCAGAATTCTGTGCCTTCCTCTACCAAAGGACACAATCATTTTCATGCCTCATTTCAAAACTAACCTTCTAAGTCTTCCATCATTTCATGGTGAGTCTGAACTCAAAAGAGCACCAAGCAAGTTGCGAACATTAACCTGTAAGGCAAGCTGTTGTAGATGTAGATGGAGAGAGCCCCAAAGCTGCTTTTTCATCGTTGCTTTAGCACTTTATACCAGGTCTTAAGACAGGATTTATCACGTTGCACCATGGTAGCTGATTCATGTGTGTTTTCCAAGCTGGGTGTGAGAGCCCCATGAAGGCGGGCATCAATTCCTAAATACCTTCACCTCCTGGGGCATCACAATGCATGGTGACACCGTCAACACTCAAAAGCATTCACCAAAGTCAACTAAAAATATCTTGAATTTGTTCTTCACAAGTCTGCTCACATGTGTCTCCAAGTCCATGCTCATCTGAACCCAAATCTTCAAGAGTTATGATGGGATTCATCCTGTGGCCCGATAGGACTTTGCTGCTATACATAGACTTTCCCCATCCATTCCCATGGAGACAGGGATGAGACCATTTAAGTACATAAAACGTGTGAGATTAACAATCATGGATATCAAGAGAGGAAAAGTTAAGTAAATGGACTGTATACCTTACCAAAAAAACCTATAAATACTGAATCAGTATCATAGTTTTCTTTAGTATCATAAATACAAATTCCAAATTATGAACTTAATTTGGTCACGTCTACAATGTCTTTCTCTTTCCATTTCTTTCTGCGTCCATTCCACACCCCAGCAAATCAAGCTCACCCAAGCCCGGCACTTTGCTTGAAACCGGGCGAGTTCCGCGGGGGAGCTTACATAACACAGGAGAATAAGAATAAGTGTCATTTTGCTTCCAAGCTCAGCAGGTTGCTTAAATTAACTAATGTTTTGGATTTTTTTTTTTGCCTAGAAAATGGGACTGATAAAATAGTACATCCTCTTTTTCGTGATGATTAAATATGCTAATCATGTGAATCACTTAGCAGAGCATTTGGCATATAATACTGCTTCTTCAAAGTTAGTTCTAACTGCATAATCCTTTTTCCAACTGAGCTTAACCCGTGTTCCCTAGCTTCAAGTACCAGATTAAAACATCCAAAAAGATTCCCACAAGTTACTAAGAATTACTACTCCCACCACCTGCCATATTCTAGCTCTGGAAACAAGAACCACCAATTTCATATTTATCTGGAATAGAAAGAAAACATTACTAGGGCAGGGAAAGGGGGTGGGGGGAAGGCATGCAATATTTGTGGCTACCCTCTGCTGGCTGGCGTCCAGTAGGACTGCCAGAAACACTGGGTCCATCTTTGCCGTCCAGTCGTACTATCCCACCCAGCTCTTGAAGACAATCCATTACACTCTCCTTCTGGTCCCAGCTGCCCTCAGTCCCTGCGGTTAAGGGGAGGGCTGCATGCGGGACCGTGTTGAGCCTCGACCTTGACTTAGTAGTTCACTCACCGACGTTTAGATAAGGATTATCTATTGAATGTGTCCCAGATGCTTGGTTTTTTGTTTGGTTAATTCTTAAAGTTTTGGCGTTTTGTTTTGTTTTGTTTTTCCTTTCAACTTCTGTTTATTTTTTTTTCCTTCCTTCCTTATGCCTTTTGCTCCATTTGAGCTATTTGCTTTTGTTAAAGGCAAAGAGATATTTGTATATGATTCTCTGGTCAAAGACTAGGATGAACATGAAGGGGTAATTAGAAGGAAGGAGTGGAGTATTTTTATTAAATTGCATTTATCCATTACTGCTTGAGCATGCTTACTGTGTCAGCAGTAGGCAGTAAACACACAAACACAATGTTTGGTCCTTGCCTTCAAGGTCCTGATAGCTGTTTATGGCCTCAAACTTGTGAGAGAGCCCAAGCACTGATTCAAGGAGAGGGTGTCCAGAGAGCAGCAGAGCTCTGGCGCCCAAGGGCAGGTCAGAGAGCTTCTCAGAGGAGGCAGAATGGGAGCAGCAGTTGGTTGGGTGGACAAGAAAAGGACAGACCTTCCAGGCAAAAAGAGAGGAATGTGCGTAATGTTTAAAGATACACAGGACTGGTTCTTCTATATTTCTTCAGTGCAATGTGTGATTAGAGAGAGCAGAAAGTCTTGTTAGAAGACGCGGGCTCGCTCTGCCTGCCCTCCCTGATGAACAGAAGGACGACAGAAGAACTTCTGTACAGCACTCCACCTAGGGTAATTGTGATAGGAAAACAAGAAGAAGGGGGTAAAATGATTGAAAGGTGGCTTCAAAGATGGTCTGTGAATAAACGGGTGTCATCCTCTCTTACAAACTCAATCTGTGTCAAGTTTTTCTTTTGTTAACTATTTCAAGATGTTTTTTTCCCATAAAAACACTGTCTATTAATGGTGGTTAAATTGCTAAGACATCCCACAAAAAAAACTTTTAAAACCAGAACGAATCCGAACCCTAGTACGGTTTTGTTGGTATCACTGATTAAATTAGTTTTTCCTGGGATGATCTAGAAATCAATGGCCATTTTTAAACTGTCTATAGAAAATTATATTTCATTTCCTCAGGGTAGACAAACATACCGGTGTATCAGATTACTCTTTTCCTCATACTTGCCCTGGGGATATAAAGGAGAAAGGACATTCAGGGCTTTGCTTAAACTTCTTTTGATGGCTTCAAACTCCTAACTTCCTGTATGTTCAAATATCAGACATTAAAGAGAGTCTGTAAGGCAGGCAGGCAGTCCATTTGGTTTAATTAGGAGTTTGCAGGAATAGAGAATAAATAATATGATTGCATCTCTTCTTCTAAAACACTAAAAGTTTATAGGATGAAAAGTTATCAGATGCTAGAGTTGAAACCACTTGAAACCTTTTATTCTTTTTGCAAGGATAAATAGTGTTACTACATTTGTTTTTCTCCTTAGGAGTTCCTGGAACAAGCGGGGAAACATCCCCCCTTGCCTCTTCCTCCCAGCCCCACCCTCCGCACACATAAGGGAACAAAATAAACCAAGTGGAAAATCAAACAAAACGAAAACTCAAACCTATCATTTTATCTCCCTCCCCCTTAAAAATCAACTTGGGTGTATCTGACATGAATTTAATGTCAAAAACAACCCCGTCCGGAGAAGGAAACTTTTTGACACGTTGATGATTTCAACTCGGTCTTGGGCTCTGTTTTACCGTACATCCGACATTTTTCCTGGCTGAGTTACATTAATGCTGGTGAACAAGAAACAATTTGCGTCTCCTCCCATCTCCTCCCCATCTTGGTATCCTTTGGTTTTACAAAGAAAACATTGTTTTGAAATAAAATCAATTGAAATACCTGGGTGAAAGTTTAATTAGAGGCTGGGAGGAAGATAATTCCTTCTGTAGATGACTCACATTAGTGGTTTCAAACTGGAAAGGCTTTAAGTAATTGTAGGGTTTGCAGTTTTAAATCTGTGCCTTCTGTGGGTATAGTGGCCAGAAAATCAAATTTCAAAAGGCTCTGGACCACCCGGGTCTTTCCTTCTAATGGGCGAATTGAGTCCAAGTTATTACCTTAAGGTGCACAGGCATGAAAAACAGTACAAGCAATCAATGGAAACAGAAATAATTGTAACTTAATTTTTAAAAATACAGTTCTGTTCAAGTAGAATATAGGAGAGCCGACTGTGTATGTAAAGTCCTATGCTAGGTGTTTCAAGGGTTACAGTGAATCATGATTTCTTGTCTCCTCCTGTACATGCCAACTATATGCTAGATATTTTTCTAGGCACTGACCACACTGGATGAAATAGAACGACTGAAGGCCCTAAGTTCAATGAGCTCAAGTGTGTGTCACTGTGAAAACGTGCAGGCAGTGCAATGGCAGACATAGGTCCCACAGTTGTCCCTACAATGTTCACAGAGCCATCTGTATTTTTCCTTCATGGCCCTTATCAATTTGCACACATATCTCTGTTTATTTGGGTCTTGTCTCTCTCTCCCATTAGAGTGACAGGTCTCCAGCAATATCAATTCCAGTCTGAGCACATTTCTCAGGCCTGGCACTTAGGAGGTCCTCAAAAAAGACCTGCTATGTACATCAACGAATCAAAAAACGAACGAGTGA